TTGATTAATTGTAGTACTCTCCAAATTCCAACCTGGGTACTCAGTATAACCATTGAGGGCCAGGCTCTGTAAAAGGAGTGGAGCTGTGCTGTGCTGGGACGGTGAAATATGAGATGTAGGGACACCACGCTTGAGGAAACATGAAACATGTTTTCCTCTCACCTAAACTCCAGGACTTGAGTGTAAGGACTTGTGTAAGTGCTGCTGCAAGTCAGGCTTGCTTAAAGAGGTTTTTCCTCCTTCCCTCTCTTCAGGTATCCGGGTGAAAGGCAAAGTCTTGTTAGCTGTGTGTCATGCCTGTGCATTCAAGTTAGTAAATCTGATATCCAGGGAACGAGCTGATGCAACTAAAGCCTGCTAACAGGTAGAATGATTTTCTCACTCGTTTGCCAATAACCTGAGCACTTCAGGGAATTTCTCTTAGAAAAGATGCAGTGGGAAGGGAGCCCCTCGGTTATCCCAACAATACGGGGCTGAGCCAGGTTTCCCTCCCTCCCTCTCCCTCGGAGCCGCAGCATCCCGGGCCATTCCAGCTGGCACAGAGCGGGCACGGCGTGACCCCTCCAGCTGTGAGGCAGCTCCTGCACACGAGGCAGCACGAACCACTCTGCCCCAGAGCCCAGCTGCTGGATTTCGGCTCAGCTCCTTCCCCAGACACAGCCACCCGTGGGGAACGAGGGGAAAGCCTCACGCCAGCAAGCGCAGAGCCGAGCCCGTGCTGCCCGACCTCTTCTGCTTGGAGGAACACGGCGGCAGCAGCTTCCTCGGCGTCTCCTTGCCGCTAACCAGCACCGGGGGATTTGCAGCGAGGTGTTGCTCGGTGCCTGCTGCTGTCACCTGCTGCCTGGAGGGAAGGCCCGGCACACGGGTGCCCGGCGTGCTGCTCTCACCCCTCTCTCCCGGGAGTGACACACGCCACCCTCGCTTCTTCCACTTGGATGAAATCATCTCGCCTCTGCCCGGGCTGAGCGGGAGCAGATGGGGCTGCTGGCCCCGGCGCGTGTGAGCCCGCTGTGCCTCCCGCTGCCCCCTCCCAGCAGAACCTAATCCCATTCCCTAATCCCGAACTTCTCTGCCAAGCTGTTCTTGAGGCGCAGAGCGTATCTTCCGTGCAAGGGGCCGAGTTGTGGACGGTTTGTTTAGCGCGGGAGCCGAGCACGCTGCGCACAGCTCCCGCATCCCGGGAGTTCCCGGGGGGCAGCCAGCGCCCAGGGGAGCGGGGCGAGGGCAGGATCCCCCCGGCAGGCAGCAGGTGCCTCTCCTCCCTCGCTCGCCGCCCAAACTGTCGTGCCGGCTACCGGGGCCGCCGCTGTGCCCTCCGAGCAGGACATCACGTTAATAGAGGTTGATTTGCAAACGGCGTCGCCCCCCCCGGCCCGTGCCCCCCTTTGCCTGACTCCCGCTTTTCTGCTCAATGGCACAGATGCTGCTTTGTGCTGCCCAGGACCAGGCAGCTATTAGCAGCAAATCCAGCGAGGGAAATTAATGAAGGCGACTACTAATAAAAGACAGCTCAGGACAGCCCGACCAACTTGCTCCGAGCGGTAATTAACTTTTTTTTTTTTAAACTCATGAAGGTAAATATGCCATCAGCTTTGGGCCGGTCTCTCTGCTTTTTAATAAAAGGAGGAGGAGGGGAGGCGAGGGAGAGGGGACGGCTGTGTGTCACAGCCGCCCCAGCACCATCTCTCTTCCCTCCTGGCCGCTGCAAAGTGACCCTCCAAGGATTTCTTTTTCTTTCTTTCTTTTTTTTTTTTTTTTTCCTCCAACCAGTTCTTAGAGTTTTGATTTTAAATCTGGCAGGAGTTCTGCCTCTCCTTAGTCTCAGTTCAGTACGAGAGGTCACGGGGATGAGCAGGCTGCCAGAATTTTGCTGGACCTGCACAGCTGTTACAGAATCGTAGGTAGAAGGCAGGATATCCTTACGTTTTAAAATCCTTACGTCTTTATATCCTTACGTTTTCAGCTTGTCAGAGAAAAAGGGTTTTTCCCGGACTTTAAAACATAAGATTTTACTTTGTAATTAGACAACAACCTCCATCAGGTCACAAAAAAGATCCCACTGGGATTTCTGCTTACGCCAGGGGATTGGCTGTCTAACAGATAATTGAGATCATTTTTGCCCGTGGGGAATGGCATTTGGGGGCTCCGTGGGCCAAATCCATGCATAATACAGGAGCAGGGGGAAGCCCAACCTGAGGCACTCGAGTGAGGCTTTGGGAAAAGCGGGTTTGAAACGCGCTGGCCAGCTGAGAGCCGTGTCGAGAGGGCTCTTTAACCGCGGCACTGCGAGGACAGATTTATGCCTGCCATGAAAGGCGGCGTGCGGCAGCCCTTGGGGTGCTGGTTTGGCTCCTCGTGGCCATTCTTATGCCAAGGAGGGCTGTAAACCCCGCCGGGGGCCTTCAGGCTGCCCCTGCAGCCCTGCTGGCGCAGAGGAGCTTTTATGCCAAAGTACAATACACAGAAGGATCATAAACACATGTTCTGGGGCAAGGGGCTGCCATGGAAACCGCCCCCAGGTTCCTCACATCATCCAAGGAGGTGTTTGCCCATCTCGCATCTCCTGGTCCGCTTCCAGGTTGGCTGCAGTTGGCTCTGGGGACCCTCCATCTCCTCCAAAAATCAGTCTCCGGCGAGAAAAGAGGGAAGTAGTGACAACCAGAAACGAAGGAGAGGAATAAACTCAAAATACGGGGCAAGAACGAGAAATAAACACTTTTGGCCACGTTTAAACGAAAAATCAGCATGAAGGTGACAGGGGGTTAGGTGACAAATGCAGCCTCTCCAACTCGGTTTTGCCAGCATGGTCCTGCCACCCCCTCAGGCCCGTTTCCTCCGAGGGCATCTCCAGCCAAGGCCAGCCTCCCCCAGGGAACAGGGAAGGTTTTTCCCACCCCAAACCCGTGTCCAACCCCCCCGCACCCTCCGAGGCGCTGTTTCCCGCGGCGGTTCCCGCTGGCACGGCCCCAGCCGGCAGGATGGTAACGCTGTGCCCGGGATGGAGGGGAACCCCTGCAGGATGGCACACCTGGCAAGGAGCAGCGTCCCTGCCCGGGCAGAGCATCCCGGTGCCGAGCACGCCGGGGTGTCCCTCCCGCTCCCGCGCGGCTCCAGCACCGAGAGGGGAGCGCATCCGTCCATCCCGGCCTTTTGAAGAGCCGAAGGCACCTACTCCAGTGCCTCTCCAGAGAGGGACAGGAGCCAGGAAGGACAATGAGGCCCGACCAGAAAAGACGGAGAAGAGCGCTCGGCTCCTTGGTGGCATTCCTGGAGTTTGGTCATTAAAAGGGGCGAGGGTGACAAACCCCGCTCCCGACGGGCCGCCCCGCGCACTGCCAGCGCCCTGAAAGGCTCCCCCTTCTTTTTGTCCCTCCTGGCCCGTGGCAGATTTGGGGGAACACAGCTTCATCTTGCTGGCCACATCAAAGCAGTGATTATGCAAATGCTCCCACTTTTTCTTTTTCTTTTTTTAGGGAATTATTTATCACACAATAACCCCCCTGCCAGGGGGGGAAACAATAGATCAGGCTAGATAGCACTGCTCGCCCGAGGCTGCGGGGCCCGGGGGGGACCCCCGCGCGGTTTATTGGCCTAACCTAATTTCACTAATTCTCTTTTCACACATTTTGGGCTTTTTTTTCCCTCCTCTTTTTGCCTCTCTTCCTTTAGCGGACGTGGCTGGGTTTCACGCTCCCAGGATCCGGAGGGCACCGGCAGGGATTCGCGTGCTGAGCGTTTTATTTAATTAATACACCCAGGCGCCTCTGCTGCTTTTTAATGATTTCCAAGTGTTTGGACCCAGAAGTCACAAAGTGCCCCTGGGAGCGCGGGGACGGTGATTGAGGGGCCTGGGCGGCCTCCAGCACCCCCTCCACGGTGACATCCCCGGCTGTGTGCTGTGCACGCTGAACCGAGCCCGCTGGAACTGCCTGCGACCCGGAATTCGTCTGACCGTCACTCGCAGAGAGGAAATTCTTCCTCTTCTAACCCGTGCGTTTTTAGCTCAACAACGTTTATTTCCTAGGGCCCTGTTGGTGAAATCCATCGGCCTGAAGTGTATAACTCTTTATCCATCCATCCCGCATTTGCTGTCAGCATCTTCTGTACTGAGAGCCAAAGGTGAATGATCAGTAAACTTCCACCGAACTTCCCCCTCCTTCCCAAAGAAACAGCGTTAGGAACACCATGGGCCCGGTGACATCAGGCCCTTGGTTTCACCAGAGACAAGGACATTCCCAGCCGCTGGCACATAACGCAGAAAAAGCAGCAAACCCCAAAGTTACGAAAATTAGAGCTTTTTATTTATATTTTATCACAAGGACAATCCCTTTGCTCTTCAGCTGTAAATACATACTAGAATAAACTCTGTAAATTATACAAAAAATACATATTTTCCATGAAATCTGTCTTTATAATAAATAAATGTGAACACGTGTGTGGCTGATCGCTGTAATGTTCCGTGTCTGTTGAGGTTTTCAGTCTGTTGATTTATTTTTAATCTCCTGAAAGAAGGGGGGAGTTCCTTGTCCCCTAAAGGTCGAAATAAATAATGTATGAGGAGATCCTTCCCCATTCCCCCCCTCCCGATTTTTTTTTTCCCTTTTGATAGAGAGTTCAGCCTAAATTTCCACGCTTGCATTCAGCCCTCACAAAGCCTACAAATTATACAATGACTTCTAACCTGGACCCCTAACAAAACAATTTACTTTTTTTTTGCCCCCCCTCGCTTCGCACCCCCCCCCCCCCCCCACGCCTATAAATCATAAGGGACAGATGGCAAAGAGGGGAGCGGGGAAAGGGGGGCGACACACACACACAAAAGCCCCGCGGTGATAGATCTGGGAAAACTGGACAAAGTGCACATCGGCGAGAGAGAGAGAAAGAGAGAGAGACGGAAAGTTTGGTTTGGCAGGTGCCGTTCCCACAGCCCGCCCTGCCCTGGGAAGCGGGCAGATGCCGCCGCCGCCCCGGGGGAGCCCCGGCAGCGCCGGGCCGGGCTAGAGGCAGCGGCGGGGCAGCGGCGGCCCCGGGGCGAAGCGGCCGGGCCAGTGCTCGGGATCCGAGGCGGAGCCCGCGGGGCTGGCGGGCGATAAAGTGCAGGCGTACGGGGAGGCGGAGGGCGCGGGGCTGGCGGCGCCGCCGCTCCAGGAGGAGGCGGGCGAGGGGCTGCCCTCGGCGGGCACCGCCGCCGCCCCGTCGGGGCCCAGCCGCGCCGCCCCGGCCAGCCGCAGGGTCTCGGTGAGCGCCCAGATGTAGTTGTGGGCGAAGCGGAGCGTCTCGATCTTGGTGAGCTTGGCGTCCTCGGGGAAGGTGGGCAGCACGTCGCGGAGGGCGTCCAGCGCCGCGTTCAGGTTGTGCATCCGGTTGCGCTCGCGGTTGTTGGCCTTGAGCCGCCGGCTCCGCTTGATGCGCTGCGCCGTCTCCGCCGTGCGCGCCGCCCGCGGGGCGCCGCGGGAGCGCCCCGGCCGCCGCTTTTGCCCTCCGCCCGCCGCAGCCCGCGGCCGCCCGCAGCCTCGACGGGGCGAGCCGGCGGGGCGGCGCGCAGCTCCTCCTCCTCCTCCTCCTCCTCTTCCTCCTCCTCCTCGGCGCTGGACGGCAGCGAGGGCGAGGGGGCGGGCGAGCCCAGCCCCAGCAGCAGCAGCTCGTCCTCGGCGGGCGGCGCCAGGACCTCCGCCTTCACCAGCATCCTTGCGCGGCGGCTGGACGGGGCCGCACCGGGCAGCGCCGGGGAGCAGCGGGCGCGCTCTCCTCGCCTCTCCGGCGCTGTGACGGTTCGCCGGTTTGACGGAGCGGGGCGGGGGTCCCGAAGTGGGCGGGGGGGCGGTCAGGCTGCGTGTCTGGCACACGACCCTCCTTAACACCCCTTATATACCCCGCGGGGAACAATCAAACCTACCCCCGGGGTCCCCCTCGCCCCGCCCGCGACTCCTGTCGGGGGGCGCCGCCGCCGCTCCCCCCCCAGCCCCGCCCGCCCCGCCGGGGCCCCATTGGCGCCTCGCGCTCGGCTGGAGCGTGCCGCTAATTTATTAATGAATGGGGACGGGGCGGGCCACGCGCGCGCCCCGGGCCGGCCGGCTCCCTCCCCTTGCCGGCCGCTTCTCCTGCCCGCGCCCGGCCGGGACAGGCAGCGGGACAGCGGCTGTGCGGGGCTCCCCTTCGCACCCTCTCGTTGCCCGCCGGGGTTTCGCCCTCTGGGGACGCGTGGTGCTGCGGTGAAGGTGCGTGCGTGACTTGCTGCTGCGTTTGCATCAGGCTGAGCCCGAAGTGGGGGAACGCCCGGCGCTCCGGGCATCTCCGTGCTGTTCAAATATAATTCACAGGCTGGAGGAGACCTTATAAAAAAGCCCCAAACGCCAGCTTGTCGGTGCACCAGGAAAAGCTTCATTCCTTTCACCCCTCTTCCAGCCCTCCCTCAGTGCAGAGCCTAGTGACATGCCCGCGGAGTCGGCATTGCTCCACAGACCACCTTCCACCACCCCAGCTTGCTCCAAGCCCTGTCCAACCTGGCCTTGGACAACTCCAGGGATCCTGTGCCAGGGCCTCCCCATCCTCACAGGGAAGGATTTCTCCCAATATCCCATCCAACCCTGCCCTCTGTCAGTGTGAAGCTGTCTTGCCCGTCGCCCCAAGCCCTTGTCAAAGAAATGACAGTGAGAATGTACAAAACTGAAACCCCAGAACACTCTCCTCTCCGTATGGAAACACCGTCAGCAAGGCACTTTGGGGGAGTTGGGCTTTGAAACAGAATTTTGTTTGCAACTGCTAGAAAAGCTCAAAATAGACGAAAGAGCTGAAGCCTCTGCAGAAGCTGTGCTCAGCGCAGCACAAACTCACACCCAAAGCAGCCCCTCACCCTGGGTGCATGGACTTTGGGAGTGATTGAGGCCGGGCGGGTGCCTCAATCAGCATCTCTGTGATTCTAGGAAACATTCTAACACTCCCTGGCTTCCTTGTGCACAACGGGAGGCTCACAGCTCCCTTCGGCATCCCAGGGGAGTGATGCAAAAGAACCCTGTTTCTTTTTCTGCACCTTAAGGGACAAAGCAGAGTACACTCGCGACAGGGCCAGCCCACCCCTCTCTGTCCCCACCCTGCTTGCCGAGATTTTCATGCTTCCATTGCTGTGCAAAGCACCGGAGAGGTGAAGCACACTTTTGCGGTGTTTTTCTGGGGTTCAGTCCCGTTCCTGCTGCCAGCCCCTGCCATGCAGCGTTTGTTTCCTTAGGGTTGAGCACGAGGTGCCCGAGGACAGGTCGGCTAGAATCCTCACAGCTCTGGGTAGGCGCTTGTGTGGTCTGTGGGCAGAGCGAGGGCCGAGCTGCTCGGCCGGGAGAGGAGGTGGCGGCGGGGAGAGGGAGTGGGATCAGGAGCAGGAATGCTGCTGCCACTGCCCACCGCCTGAACTGTCCTCCAAGGGTCAAACTGTTCAACTCCAGCCCCTTTGCCAGACTCAATCCTACTTTAGGGGAACAAAAGCCCAAAGTAGGCAACGATCAAGAAATGGGAGCACAATGATTTAAGCTTATCACACAGCCCAGAAATAAAGGACGCTGAGCTCGTGTGGGGGAGAGGGGGAGACCTTCAGAAGGGCTTTGTTTGCTGTAAGAAGATTGAACTCTGAGGCGACCCGATAGCCCTAAAAGTTTAGGGTCTGTGTTGCTGAGAGACCTTTGGGCACAGCCCATCCACACGTCGACCTCACAAGTTGAGAGCCGGCCTTAATGGCCAGCCTGCCTCAGGTGAACAGGGGCGCAACATCCCGGGAAATGCGGGGACAAAGCTGTGGGGACAGGGTGGCCTGATCCCTCCCAGCTCTGCCTCCCTCGTTCCCTGCAGTGTCCCGAGGGCTTGGGGTCCCAGGGCTGCCCACACACACCAGGGTGCCCTGAATCCTGTGCTGTCCATCCCTGGGCAGCACCCACAAACCCTGAGGGTGGGGTTGTTCTGCTCTTAAACGGGGTGTGAGAATATGTCCCCACACAGCCGAGCACTGGGCTGCAATCGAAAGTGCTGGGGTGTGTATCCCCCACGTCCTGATCCAGGTCCTTCCCAAACACCCCGCGCATGCTGCAGCGAGCAGTGCCACAGTGAGGGACAGGACGAGGAGCGGCCCCCAACTCCCAAGCTGTATTAGCACATTTGGGGTTTGTTCTGGGATCAAGGCGAGGAGGGTCCCCCCAGAAGCGCTGTCCCGGCATCTTTCCCCGGCTCCCCCCACCCCGGCCCGCGTCGGGGACCGATTGTTCCCGGCGGATTTGCATGGCAGGTGCAGGCCTGCGGAGCGATTTTGCACTGCCAGCCCCCCGCCCCACCAAGAGGGTCTGCCTCCCCCCCCTTGTGAAAAAAGGCTGCCGGTGCCTTCCTTTCCCATGAAGAAGAGAAGAAGCTTGAGGATCGCGTGAACACGCTTCACTTTTCTTATTCTTTTCTATAGATGTGGGGAAAAGAACAGCCGATTGTGTGAAAAACCCAGTGCCTGCAAAAAGGGACATTGGCCATCCAGGCGAAGGTGCGCGAGGGAGAGCACTAATCGCTGAACCAGGAGACAAATACGATTACCAGCTCCGAGCCTTGAGTCAGAAAGTCTCATAGACTTTAAGATGTTAATCCCCAACATAATCCTTCCTTTGGCGTGTAGGAATAGTGCAGCCACAAGAGTTGTTTTGTTATTTATATTGGCGTTTAATAAAACTCAGCCAGTGGTGAATGGGCTGCCCACTCTCCAATGGTAATTAATTCCCTATTTCAGTGACCCAATTGTGCTGGGATAGAGCAGTGGGACAGTCCCACTGCCCCAACCCGCCTTTGTGCAGCTACACGGCTCTCGTGCTTCAACAGCTATGGAAACTCATTCTTTTGATGTCATTCAATGAGTTTTCCTTGGGCATCTTCTAAACTTCAAGGACCCTTTTCTTTCTCGAACGCCTGAAAAGCAGGACTAGCTTGACCACCTCTGTAGAATTTAATGGTTTGGTGAAAGGGCCTTTTGGGGGGGTGTATGTGTGTGTGTGTGTGGGGGGGGTGTGTAAGGAAAGAGAGAAAGAAAATTTGGCAGGCTGGCTATCAAACAGGGGGATAGGCAAATTCGGGTGTGCCGAACTCACTTGGCTCCTAATTTATCCAGGTCTAAAAAGCCACTTTTCCTTACTCAAAACACTCAGGGGCTTCTCTTAGTCAAGGCAGTTCTAGAAGGGATTTGCCAATGAGCGAAACTCTTTTAAGGACCTGAGTAAAGACACAAATGGTGTTTCAAGAAGGAATTTCCATCCAGAAAAGGGAAAAACACCTGGATACTTTTGCCTGGAAGGGGAAGAATACCAGATATCTGTAACAGGTTATCGTTATAAAGTGTGTCTGCAGGTTTATACCTCTGTGTGGTGAGGCGGCAGAAAGCGAACATGTGAAGAACATGGAGTTATCCCGCAGAGCTGCCCCAGTCCAGGCAGCCTCTTCTATGTCTTTATACACGCTTCCAAAAAAAAAAAAAACCCCAAAAAAAACCCCTTCGCAAGTCACAAACAATTCAGGATTCAACTAAGAAAACACAGAGTGAACCATATGGCCGGGGTGGCTCGAGTTGGCTGCATTTTCCCTCAGACAAAGAAGGGATTGAGAGTTGAAGGAAAGGAGAAAAAAACCCAACTTTCCGGCTGATGAAGCTGTTGTCTGGAGGCAATGATCCCAAATCTCAAGGCTTTATTCCAGGCTCCGACTGAGACGTGATATGTCATATGATTAGCATCTTTCATATTTACAAGAGTAGTGCGGGCTGCCAGTCTTTAGAGAAAGGCGAGAGAAAGAAGGGGCATATGCTGAAATGGATTTAGCATTTGAAAGAGAGAAAAGAGAGCGGATAAATACACTTAAACGAGGATTTAGTTTTACTCCCGTTGAGTTCTAATGGCTTGTTGATTGAGATTTTAGGGAGCCGGGACAGAGGTGTCAGCAGTAATTTAAAAGCGCCATTCAGCCCTCCCCCGGCGGAAGGAGCGGGCGCTGCCCCCTCAGGGCGGAGCGGTGCTGCGGCCGCAGTGGCGGGAGGGGCGCATCACCGCCCGGCGTGGCGGCTCCCTCCGCCGCGCGCGCGGCGCCATCTGGCGGCGGGCCTGAGGCGGCCGGGATCGGGAAAAGCGGGAAGCGCACCGGGAATTCCCGGTGAGCCGGGCACGGCCGCAGCGCTGCTCACAAGCACCGTCCAGCCGAGCCTCGAACACTTACAGGCATGGCTCCTCTGTGCCAGTGCCTCACTGGTACTCCCATGGAAGAGTTTAACCCTAATAGCCCAGTTAAACCCATTTCCCCTGGTACTGTCACTCCATGCCCTTGTGACAAGCCTCTTCCCAGCTCGCTTGGATACCTCATAGGCCCTGGATGGTGCTTAAGATTTTCCCAAAAGCTGTGGAAGGGGTATTTTAATTGTTACAGCCGCGTTCCTTGCTGGATGTCACCTACCTGTAAATATGGGAGGCGGCAGAATTGTTCTAAAATACCATGGTGTTTTAATCTGAAGAACAGTGAAATACCACTAGTATCGTTAACTGCACAGTAAGCATAAAAGGATTTCACTTCTCAAGCAGAAAAAGTCACTCTATTTATGGTTATCAACCAAATAAAGTCACTTTAATAATTTTTAGTCTTATGACTACAAGGTCAAACAGACGTATCAGTGCGCTGAAGTCCAAACAA